TAACGAACACCTAATTTTCTACAAGTTAGTGCACATGAGCTGCAGAGAAATGGCGGATGGAAATCGGCTGAAGAGAAGAGGCTGGCGTAAATATACGGGAGCTCTCTATGTCGCAAAAAAAGAAATAAAGGATGCGTTCGTATAAAATATCTGTATATCTCTCGAGTATAAAATATCCTAGAACCATCAATATCAATTAAGTGAGAATTGAGTTCGGGTACTTGTTCTGCTTACCTCTGTCCTTCTTCTACGGTTCCGTTCTTACCATTTTATCTCATTAATCTCTAACTTTTTTATTTATTAAATAACAATAATTTATGCCCTAATCGCTGTACTGACAAGGTCCAACTGCAGTCCGACTTAAGGCGTGTGCAACTTAGTGGACCGAAATGTATTAAACTAAGTTCACTTAGTATTTCTTCGTATATACTGCAGGTTTCAATTTTTAATATTTTTAGTACATCTCTCTATTATATAATAATTACCCTTTGCATAACGTTTATAATTCTCTTTAATTCCAATACGTAAGTTAGCATCCGATATTAAACAATATTTTAAATGAATAAAGTGTATAGACCGTTAGTCAGTTTTGGTTAAAATCGAGAACGTCGTGGAATGTAGCACAACAAACATACATAATGCATTTTTATCTTTTCTAGATATAGTGTACTTCTGAAAGACGCCTCGAAGGAAAGAAAACTAGTGGTCACACTTTTTATAAAAAACATACGTTTTTCACTATCTATTTCACTTCTTCATTTCGAGGTCGTTTCGTCCATTCATTCCAGAGATGGCGTGCACGGATGATAATTAGGTAACCAATACAGAACAGAATAACCTAATGCAAGTGTAAGAAAGTATAGCTTGGAACACCAGAAGCATCCCATCACTGTTCAACAGTTTCAGATGAAGTCGGGTCGATCACACAATGACACTACAGCACTGCATAACAGTGGTGATCCCATTAACCTGTATGGCTTTCCTCACCTACAGGACAGAACCACATATTTTCACAGTCCAAGATTAGTGTTCTCTGCTTATTCATATATATTCTTTCAGTTTGAACTGGAAAAGTGCTCGTTTGGGATGACAAGTTACGAACTGATCCAGAAGGAAAAAGTTTACATCGGGACGATTTATCCCACTGCTGGAAAGATGACCGAGAAATGTCGCCGACATAGCATCAACAAAAGCTGTATGTGAAGATACAGTGCCTCGTTTTTTGATGAATAAATAATTACGAGTTACAGTGTGTTTACATCCCAGTAACATCGAGAGCTTCATATCGACTGTTCTCGTGGTCCTACTGATCTATGCCGCAAACTTTTGGAACGAATATATTCAAAGCACATGAATGTTAAACACAAAATTAAGAAACCCCGCTACTGGACAATTTTTTCAAGAAAAGCATGACGCAGAGGTCACTTTGGAGCTGCTAAATAATAAGGGCTCGAATTCTCTTTCAGGCTGTGTGCTCATTATTTTGCTGTATAAGTAAAAAGTACACAAAACATGCGAGTGGTCGCTTTTTTCTCTAATTTTTACAAAGCACTGCACTCCCGGCGATATTATCATCGATAGAAGACTAAAAATCTAAGATCAATTGGATACATTCACTGGAGAACGTTCCGAATATGGATCACTGATGGACCGTTTCGAATATCAAGTATCAGTGTGATTTCCTACATGGCAAGAAGCTGAGGTTACTGTTGACTAAAAGTAGCAACGTTGTGAATGAGGCTTCAAAATGCAATATTTTGTTGCAGTGTGGAAGACTTACCGACGTCTTCAAAAACTCGTTTCGAATCGAAATAGATTTTGTTGAAAACGTTGGCAGCTCTTCCACATTATGACAAAACAGTCTGACAGCTAAAATGGTAGCAACAGAGAGAAAGACATGACTACCTTCTGCTAGAAGTAGCAGCAGCAAATCTTTCGGCAACAGAGAACAAAAGAGAAAAAAATAAGGATTTTTACCGGTTTCTTCATTAAAACAAGCCAAGAGTTATAGAAGGGTTCAGAAAAAAATAAAGTAAATAAATAGCAACGCGCACCAGACTAGCTGGTGCGATCATGCGTTTTCTGCAATTTAGCCCAACAAATTTGCCTATTAATGATCTTCACTGCTTCGTACTTTAGTCTATGTAAAAATAGTTCAAATACTGGAAAACAGTTAAAAATTTCACGCACCAACGCATGAAAGCTGAATCCGGAACTTTAAAGGGTGAATATCTTTCCGTGATTCCCGAGTTAATAGTTTACCCGCCAAATTTTTCACAAGGCCGTAGGTGATACTCAAGAGCGCCGGAACGCTGAATTTGAATAGGCAAGGTTGAGCGTGGGAGGGGGTCATTGCCCTAAAATTTCAGCTCCCTAGACCTCGTGGTTCCCGAGATAATAATATACCCGTAAAAACTTTCACTAGCTCGTAGGTGATAACTGAGAGCGCGGGAACGCTGAAATTGAATGGGCAAGGTTGAGCGTGGGCAGGGGGTCACTGCCCTAAAATTTCAGCCTTCTAGGCTCCGTGATTCCCGAGATATTAATTTACCTGTAAAAAACTTTCACGGGGCCATACGTGTTACCCGCGGGTACGG